TCGACGACCAACAGATACCTTGTTGAAAAAGACCGCATTACAGGCCTGCTTCACAGCACGATCCAAATCCGCATCTGGGAAAATGATAAGTGGCGATTTTCCACCAAGTTCTAGCGAAACTTTCTTGACGTTTGAACATGCGCAACTGTAAGATCATCGTATAGACTTATTCCAACATGGAAATCCAAAAAAAAAAAGATTTCCTAATTATCACCAATTTCAGTTGAATTCAACAGTAAATATTGCGCTGATCAAAATTTTTCACGCAAAGAGCAATCAGCATAGAAGTGTTATGAATCGCAAGTTAGTCGAAACAATAAAATCCTCAAGAAACTGAACAAATCTTCATGTTGATTGCTAACACGAATATTTAGAAGGCTTGTAATCTAAAGAAACATTCAATATTTATTCATTATCACGGTGTATCTTTACCTGCTCATCACTTGAGCTCCAACTTCTGTGGAACCGGTGAAGCCAACTTTTCTGACTGATGGATGATCACAAAGACACTGTCCAATCTCAGAGCCTGACCCTGTCACAATGTTCACCACTCCTGCTGGTATACCGGCTCGTGCGGTTAGCTCGGCAAATTTGAGTGCTGTCAGTGGACAAACCTAGAGTGTTCGATTAGTGATTTTGGTCGATGAATGATGCATGTTGTTCTTTCCTTGTGCATGGAACGGTACACCGCACAATATTATAAAAACAATTAAACAGCACTGCTTTTTGCTCATTTTTATCTCTTTGCGATCAAAAAATTATTGATAACGACACTGTCAGTTATTCAAATCAATGTTTACCTGAGCCGGTTTCAGAACGACTGTGTTTCCTGCAGCAAGACATGCGGACATTTTCCATGAAAGCATCATAAGTGGATAGTTCCATGGTGTAATGATGCCACAAACACCAAATGGTTCACGGACAGTCAAGCATAAATTCAGGTTGGGACGAGCATGTGAGATTGGAATCGTACGACCCTGAATTTACACAACAAGCACATAGCGAATTCCTCTCAAAATTCAATGCTCCTTCGAATAGCGATGTATATCGTAGAGGTTGTAAACTAATTCGTATTTGAGAGCCTAATGTATTTGAATGCCTTGCGAATGTTCATATGTTTTAATGAACAGAAAGGTTTTTTCAACATATCGCATCTGTGGGGTTGGCATGTTTCATTTTAAAATTCAATTCACTGCAATCGCAAAACTCAATTGGTTTAATGAGCACTCAAAAAGT